AGCCCTGACCCCCCCCCCCGTGTGACTGCATTGGCGACAAGGCCTCAGGGAAGGTGGACAAGGTCACTGAGGTCATAAAGGTGGGGCCCTAACCCTACAGGACCTGTGACCTTGGAGAGGAGGAAGAGATGCCGGAGATCTCTCCCTGCCTGCTCACAGGGGAAAGGCCAGGTGAGAACACGGAGAAGGTGGCCGTCTGCAGGCCAGCAAGAGAGCCCCCGCCAAGAGCCGACCCTGCCAGCACCCTGAGTCGGGACCTCCAGCCTCCAGAACCGTGAGGGAATAAGCATCTGTTGGTTAGGCCACCCTGTCTGGAGTACTGTGCTAGGTAGCTCCTAAGGATTCTTCACTGGCCACCTGTCTGTGTCCCTCTCCCCCAGGAGACAGCCAACAGCCTACCTGCCCTGCCCACATTCCAGGGCACGCCCAACTCTCTCAGCCGGGTGGGGAGCAGTGGGGCAGGACTCAACATCACCCCCACCCTGCCGCCCTCAGGGTGTCCCAAGACTGACACCACAGCAAAGGGGCCCGGCCAGCCTGCAGCCCCAAAACCCACAACCAGGACCCTGCCTAGGGGTCGTGCGCGGCCCCTCCGGGGCTGGAGGTGGAAGGGGGGTCACGGGTAGGGACAGCATCCCATACTCACAGCACCCGCAGCTGCTTGAGCCCCGCAAAGTCATTCTTGTGGATCCGAGTGATGTTGTTGCCATTGAGTTCCCTGGTGGAGAGAGGGAGAAAAGGAAGCAGTGAGGAGATGGAGGTGGGTCCCCACGCCAGGGGCTGGGCTCCAAGCTCTCTCTCTTCACTGGCTCAAGCCCGTCATAGCACAGATGGGCCTGGAGGCTTGCCAGCTAAGCCCTGGGACCCCGCATCTGTGATTTTAATGTCCAACAATCTGAGGCTTCTGCAGCAAAGAATCGGCTGGAACAAGGCATCGTGGGCACACTGCTGGGGGTGCCGAGGTAACCAAAAATGTGGCTTCTGCCCTGAGAGAGCTCGGTCTGGGGGGAGAGCCCAGACAGACACGGGGGAGTTTGGAAACTAGCCAAGGAGAGGGGCTGTTCAGGTGGACGTCTCCCTGGGCCTGTTTCCCCACCTATAAAACAGGGACAAGAAGGCCGGGTGCGGTGGTTCAAGTCTGTCATCCTAGCACTTTGGGAGGCCGAGGTGAGGACATTGCCTGAGCCCACGGGTTCGAGAACAGCCTGGGCAACTTGGCCACACCTCATCTCTACCATACATCAAAAAAATGAGCCAGGCGTGGTAGGGAACGCCTGTAGTTCTGGCTACTTGGAAGGCTGAGGGGAAAGGATTGCCTGAACCCAGAGGGTCAAGGACGGGGTGGCCGTGAGCGTGCCACTGCACTCCGGCCTGGGCGATGAGTGAGACGCCAACTCAAAAAATAAAATAAAATAAAATGGGGATAACAGCCGTGTTGGCCTCAGAGGGTCGGCGTGGGGCTAGGCAAGCAGATAGACAGCCTGTGCTCGCCGCGACCCCCAGCTATCATCTGGCGGCTCTGGCGAGCTGCCCATGTTCGGCAGGAGTGGCGGGGCATCAGCGTCAGGGCTGAGGACGGGGGACTCGAGACAAGGAAGATCTGTGCGGCAGAGGGCTGGGGCGGACGTTCCCTGAAGACCACCCTGAGTCCGGTCTGGACTATCTGGGCGGGCGACCAGGACCTGCAGTGGGAAGCAGGGCTGGGGATGCTGGGCCAAGATCTCAGAGGACTGAGAAAGCAAACGGAGGAGAGGAACAGGGAGCCAACCAAGGCTCCGGACAGTGAGTGAGGCCACTCTTGCAGCAGGGGGGCAGGAGGGCAGGGCCGGGAGGGAGGCCACGCCTGCCGTCTCCAGCCCGGGGCGGGGAAGGAGGCCACGCCCACCGCCTTCATCCCAGGGCCGGGGAGGGAGGCCACGCCCACCGTCTCCATCGGGGGCCAGGCCCGGGGCAGCAGTGGCTCCTCCTTTCACTCTACACTGGGCCACCTGGCCCTTTCTTCCTTCCAAAGCCACCTCTCTCCTCCCCTGGCCCTCCCCAGTCACCCACTGGGCACCTGGGACCTGGACCACCTCAAGGACCATCTGGCCTCCACCTTCACACCTAGCCTCCTGGCAAAGCTCGCTCGGCCTTAGAGAGGCAGGCACTCCAGGGCGACCACTCTATACCCCAGAAGGTTCTCCCACCAAGCCCCACAAGGCAGGATCCCACTCAGACCCAGCTCCGTCCCCAGCAGACCCTCCCCATCTGTTCTGTCTCCCCAGAGCAACTCCCAACGCAAGCCACACACCTCCCTCTCTGCCACCGCCACGGTCACACACACACGGTGTACGACAACCTCACTGCCCCCGCCCAACACGCTCACAGGCACAGGCACACACACACCACGTGAACCCAAAGCCCCGTCTTCCCACTGAACCAACTTGGGTCGGCGGTCCTTGGTACCACCATGAGCTCACCCCAAGCTCCTTGGAGGAACAGCCGCATCTCTGCCCTACAGGTGCTTAGGAAGGGCTAGGTCTGGGTGACATTCCGGGGCTGCACCCACTAAGACCGATGTCACACGGATCCCTTTCCACACAGCCCAGGAACCACCTGGGCTTCCGTCCATCCTCCACGACACAGGAGGTCGTGACTGGGCCCACCCAAAAGACGAAGAGAGCATGACTCTAAGGAGCTGGCAAGTGACAGAGCAAGGAGCTGAACCCACAGTCGCCAGACCCCGGGGCCCAGGCTCTTCCCGCCAGGCCAGGCCGTCTCTCCAAGCTGACAAGCAACACGTCACTCAGCGCAAGGCTCTCGCCCCTCCCTTGGGATCCAGGTCCTCAGGACAATAGCGGTCAACCCCTTCAGCTCTCCCAACAGGGTCTCTGGGGGGGGTGGGGCCCCACCCGGCCACCACACCCAGCCTGAGTGCTTCCTGTCCTGAAGGCTGCAAGGACGCCTTCTCCAGGTCAGCTCATGTCCACGTGAAGGTCTTTTTTTCCTGAATAACAAATCCCTCCCCGAGGCCGGGCTCGGTGGCTCAGCCTGTCATCCAGCACTTTGGGAGGCCGAGGCAAGTGGATTGCCTGAGCCCAAGGGTTCGAAACCAGCCCGGGCAACTTGGCCAGACCTCATCTCTACAATAAATAAAATAAAATAAATTGGTCGGGTGTGGCAGCGCGCGCCTGTAGTTCCAGCTACTTGGAAGGCTGAGGCAGAAGGATCACCAGAGTCCAGCAGGTCAACGCTGGGATGGCCGTGAGTGTGCCGCGGCACTCCAGCCTGGGCGACAGAGTGAGATTCCAGCTCAAAAAATAAATCCCTCCCTCAAGCAGCCACCGCTAAGCTTCACCTGCGTAGTCTTGAGCTGTTCCTTCCATAACAGGATTGTGAGGACTTCATCATGAGGGCCTTTACAACTGGCCAGGCGCAGTGACTCACGCCTGTCATCCCAGAACTTTGGGAGGCCAAGGTGGGAGGATTGCTGGAGCCCAGGAGTTCAATACCAGCCTGGGCAACTTGGCAAGACCTCATCTCTACAAAAAACCAGCCGGGTATGGTGGTGTATGCCTGTAGTCTCCGCTACTTGGGAGACTGAGATGGAAGAATCGCCTGGGCCCAGGAGGTTGAGGCTGCCGTGAGCCGTGCTTATCATGATCATGCCACTGCACGCCAACCTGGGCGACCGAGTAAGACGCTGACTCAAAACAAACATACACTGAGAATGTCATTATGAAGTGGCTGGGCACTGTGGCTTATGCCTGTAATCCCAGCACTTTGCGACGCCAAGGTGGAAGGACTACTTGAACTCAGGAGTTCGAGACCAGCCTGAGTCACACAGTGAAACCCTGTCTCTACAAAAATAAAAAAAAAATTAACTGGACATCACTACAACCCAGCTACACAGGAGGCTGAGGAGGGAGGACCGCCTGAACTCAGGAGGTCGAGGCTACAATAAGGCATGATCATGCCACTACACTCCAGTCTGGGTGAAAGAGTGAGACCCTGACTCAGTTTTTAAAAATAATAAATAAATAAATAAATAAACAGATTCCCTTCCCAAATGGGGCTTGCTTCCCATGGGCTGAAACTTTCATCCCAAAACCCAAAACCACAGGCAGCTTTGGTCGTTTTATTTTTATGATTATAAAGGACTGTCAGTATTGATTATAACAGCAAAAATGCCAAGCAATTCAAATGACATCACCAGCACATCGTTTAGCTGAGTTCAGCACAAACGTGAAATGGAACTCCGTGCGGTCATTTAAAATGGCACAGACCAGCTGGGCTCGGTGGCTCAGTCTGTCATCCCAGCACTTTGGGAGGCCAAGGCGAGTCGACTGCCTGAGCCCATGGGTTTGAGACCAGCCCAGGCAACTTGGCGAGACCTCATCTCTACAACAGATCAAAAAATTAGCCGGACGTGATAACACACGCCTGTAGTTCTGGCTACTTGGAAGGCTGAGGCGGAAGGATCGCTGGAATCCAACAGGTCAACATGGGCCAGGAGTGTGCCATTGCACTCCAGTCTAGGCAACAGAGTGAGTCTCTGACTAAAAAAAAAGAATGTAAAAAAATAAAAATAAAATGGCACGGACCTGGGTGTCTCGACAAGTAAAGCCCTTTCCTACAAGCCAGCCTGTGCAGAACACACACACACATTGACACAGGGCCGTGCACAGGACAAGCCCTGCTTATGGAAGCACATATTACTGGTTGTAACCACCGAGTGGCGGGACTCCAGGTGACCTCACTTTCTTTCTTATACTGTTCTGCACTGTCTTAATTCTTTAAAAAAGACATCTATATTATATAAGCCAACATGATGGTCAAGTTACTGCATTTTAAAAATAAGAGAGGAAGCACATATCCAAGGTTATTTGGGTCTGTCTTCCAGGCAGAAAAAAAAATAAAATTTTAGAAAGAGAATATTGAATTTGTTCAATTTCTTGAAGAATAAAGAAAAACTGAAATGCGCGCGTGCACGCACACACACACACACACACACACACCCTATCATTAGGTAATAATTCCTGGGTCAGGCATAGTGGCTCACACCTGTAATCCCAGGACTTTGGGAGGCCGAGGTGGGAGGATCACTCGAGGCCAGGAGACCAGCCTGAGCAACCAAGCAAGACCCCATCTTTCCAAAAAATAAAACAATTAGCAGGGCATGGTGGTGCGAGTCTATAGTCCAAGCTACTCAGGAGGCTGAGGCAGGAGAATCACTTGAGCCCAGAGGTTTGAGGCTACAGTGCACTATGATTGCACTAGCCTGGGTGACAGAGCAAGATCCCGTCTCTAAAATGAAAAGAAAAGAAAAGAAGCAACCCCACGGCCGGGCTTGGTGGCTCAGCCTGTAATCCCAGCACTTTGGGAGGCCGAGGTGAGTGGACTGCCTGAGCCCGTGGGTTCGAGACCCACCTGGGCAACTTGGCGAGACCTCATCTCTACAATAAAATCAAAAATTAGCCAGGCATGGTAGCACACACCTTTAGTTCCAGCTATGGAAGTCTGAGGCAGAAGGATTACCGAAGCCCAGCAGGTCGAGGCTGCGGTGGCGGGGAGCGGCCACTGCACTCCAGTCTGAGTGACAGAGGGAGACTCCAACTCAGAAAATAAGAAAAGAAAAGAAAAGAAGCAACCCCTATTAACATTCTGAAATATTTTCCCTCAAGCCTGTCTTTGTTGAATACAACTTTTATACAGCAGACATAATGAAACGAATGTTTC